GCTCTCCAGGCAGGCTAGACATTTCATGTATTTCTTAAAGCCTTAAAGTTTGCACATCTTTCTCACTTCATCTCTTGCTGCATTCTCAAGAAGCTACGAATCTAAATGTCAGACATCAATTCAGACCCCAATGTTCAAGAGCCTAAGGACAGCTACAGCAATAATCGTACCTATCAGATACAAAAGAAGACCCTGCAATTGTGACACTGGGTTATACTTGAAGTCTAAACAGGCCAGGGGAGGTAGGTGTGTCAGGACCAAAGAATGAAGAGCAGAGGAACAAAGAATTATACCACCAAAAGCATTTTTGGTTCTATTTCTTTGTAGAGTGTGAAACTAACTTGAGATTGATTCTTTCCACGCACAGATGGGTGACAGACAGAGGAATGGGTGAAAGCAAGTTCTGAGCTGCTAGAATCCAGCTGTACATACACTCAGGCATTCAGATTTAAAACCAAAACCAAAAACCTCAATCATCTTTCTCTCTCCTTCAGTGCTCACATCAGTCAGGAAGGAAAGAACTCTACCTGGAATAATGACAACACAGCCTGATGAGGTCTTGAAGCTATTGCCTAACAAGTAAAGCATTTGAGTTTATGTGATACCCTAGCAGAAAGGGGCCAGGTCCTTGCAATGCTATGTAGGTAAAGATATGCACTCTTTTCAAATTACCTGAGGCATTTGTCTGCTTCAGAATGTTATCAGATTAACAGCAGTCTGTGCAAAATGGCCATCTGAGGCAAATCCCACTAAATTGGGTGTTTGAGAAAGAAAGAAACAAATAAACATTTGTCTTGAGAAGAATACACAAATGACTCTGGGAATGTGATAGTCTTCAGAAAAACCTGGAGAGTATCAGCTAATGCTTGTCTCCATGTGACCCACGCCTTAACCTGATGGGGGCTCCCACAGCGAAATTTGGCTTTGCCACAAGAACACATAAATTCCTTTTCTTTCCTACAAAAATCTGTTTAAGTAGGTACTTGAATTTTCTTAAAACACAAGCACTGTTTGCTTTCTTATTTTTATTCCAGGATAGCATTTTACTTGCCATTTAACATCTCCTTAAACAGACTGTGCACTTTAAATTGTTTTGTTACTAGCATTTTCCCATACAGCTTCACATAAATGTGTGAAAACAGATACTGACCTTGCTTTGTGGCACTCTGACATAGGGCTGAGAAAATCATCTAAACTGAGATCCACACTGAAGCAACAACTTCAAAATATTTCAAAATATACAACACAATTTAGAAGTTGTATGACAGGAAGACTCCACTCATCATCATCCATCTGCTATTTGCAAAGGTATACCTATTTATGGCAGCAGTTATGGCTATTTATTGAACCTGGATTTTGATGATGGGGATTGTTCAGGAGGTGCAGTAATACTGTCTGCCTGGTTCTCTGTATTTATTTTCTAATGATCTGCTACTAGCAATTTTAAACTGAGCACAATGTTGTTTTCTATTTCTGTTCTATTAGCTTGAACATATTTATGCAAAGGCTCCTTTAGACAGCAAAAATCTCTCAGGCTAAAGGCATCTGAAGAACATAAATAGAACTAGTATGGTGCAAAGAAGTTTTCAAGTAAATGAAAGTGAGATTCAGTAGCTACAAGGTTTTTGTGTTTATCTAGGAGTGTAAAAAATTGAGTGGCTTAAAGAGAATGAATAGGCTTTCCCTGGGGGAGATTTTAGCAGAAAAGCACAAGCAACGCTACAGCTCACTCCATTACATTTACTTGTAGATTCCTTCACAATTCTGAGAATGTTGTGGGGGTTTTTTTGCTTTTTTTTTTTTTTTTTTGGTTTGGTTTGCTTTTCTTCTCCCAAATTCTATGATTCTAAGATATACTGCAAATACACAGTGTGCTTTTAAGCACGATGCTCTCTTTCTCACTCCTATTTTCCTGATCACCCTTCCATTGGCTGATCAGCAATTTTAAAATTTCAGGTTTTTTTTCTTATATACATTTCCTTCCTTTTTTTTTTTTTTTTTTTTTTTTTTTCTCCTGTCACAGCTCAGTGCCAGGTGGCTTAATATTCCCCCTACATTAATTATCTTTGTCAACCTTATTTGACATTGTAGTAGGAGAAGTGCTCTTGTTACGGTATTTGAGTACCTTGCCAGATGGCAACAGTGTGGGAATTCTCCCATATTTGTGAATTAGTTTGATATGACCTGACAGTGAGAGCTTACTTAGAGTGTAAGACAAAGGTGCATAGCCACAGCACCAGCACAGTGAGCTCTGTTGTGTAGATTATGTTTGTACCTTAGCATAAAATGCAGTAATCATCCTCAAGAAAAAATGTTGAGTATCAATTCTAGATGGCAATGAGGACTTTCCCTGGTTGCTGGATTATTGTAAGAGAGAACAGTCCTCTTGTAAGAGTAAAACACGCCACTATGTTAATGCTTTGCCCTGCTGGCATACAGCAAGAGGTGATAGAGCTTCTTATCTTTCTCAGACATCAGAAACAGTCTTTGCTATGGCTGATTTCCTACTTGCAGAATTCCTAAATTGCCTAGGATTACCATAAAGGTTACACAGATGTGTGGAGGGAAAAAAAAAAAAAAAAAAAAGTTTGGAAAGACTGAAAGAACATCAATTAGCAGAACTCTGCTGAGTACAGAATCTAGTCGTTTTGTGGCCAAAATGAACTGGCTTACACAAAAAATGGAAGAAAAGCAGCATGTTGCTGTGCAGTCAGTGTGGTCCGTCTTCATTATCATGTAACTGCTGAAAAGGAACTAAAAAAGGCATATCTGAACTGGATATAGGCAGGTAACACTGTGGTAGTTTCCATATTGTAGATGAACACACACTTTAGTGAGAAATAATAGTGTCATAAAACAGCAGAAGGGTGTGAGTTAGATGTGAAAAAAAAAGATGTAAGGCTTTTGAATCCATCTCCTGCTACTGGAGGACCATTCCCTGCAGTACATTTTCTCATATTTTGTCTAGCCTGCTTGTTAATGCCCTGCATAATAGTAAATTTAATAATTTCCCTTAGGAGGAACAGATGACACTTTAGTACCTCTCCCTGTCAGGAAGCTGCTGTTGGTATGTTGCCCGCTTTCATTTTCCCAGCTCCGTCTTGTTACTCCTAACAATTACCTGAATAACATTATAAATAATGCTGCTCTTTTTACCCCAGCTCTGCAGTGAGATGGGAGCTAGTGGGACATCTACAGGTTCCCAGAGGGTAACCCATGGGAACTAGTCTCTGGGAAGCAGCCCAAAACCAAGAGTGTTCTATACCTGCAGTGTTGCAGTGCAGCCTCCTTTTCATACATTTACTTCTGTGCTCAGAATAGATAGTTGTAGAGTTATTTTAAATTTTGCCTCTGAGACATATTCCATAGGTCCAGGTGGGCTTTGTGTCCCACGCTCCATTTTGAGAATCGTTATGCTGTAGCACAAGGCATACTCAAGGTTTTCCAATGTACCATTTAGTTTTCCCTAGTCCTGGCTCTGGATTGTTCCTGACAGTAAATAATGTTAATATTCAGTAAATCTGGCCTTGAAAATACTTTGGAAAGCAATGAAAATACCCCTGGAGAGTTTATTATAAGAAATAATTTAAAATAATCAAGTCCATGTGCAAACTCAACATCCTGTTTTTCATATATTTATTGATTGAGAGCCCCTTTTCAGTCATCTGCTGGCCAGAATATGAACAATATATTTTTTGAATAAGAATATGAACAAATATGAACAAATATATTTTTTTTTTTCTACCTAATAGTACCAGTAGATTATCTGACCCATGTATTTTACACAGTTTCTCCCAGCTTAGTTCCCACAGCCTCCTGACAGGTTTGTTTTAGTTTTGTTTACAGTGTTTGAATAAACTCCAGGTTGCTAAAAAGTTTCAGCCACTATTTTCCTGTTCTAATAACTTCAGGAGAACAGAAATGTCATGATGGCCCCAACAGATACAGTTCAACACTGCACTCAAAAAAATGAGTGAATTGAAGCAGCAATAGCAATAATGGAGAAGCACACTGTCAGTTCATTCATCTTAAAGGAACTAGATCCATACAAAAAAAGAGCGTGGGAAAACCTTTTTTTGTTGTTGTTGTAAGTTAACAATTTACTCCCTTGAAAGAAACCTAAAAATGGTTTTGTCCTGTGCAAATCAAGAGGTTGATAGGTCTATTTACTTACCAAGACACTATCAACATCTTAATATGGCCAGCTGTGTAATTCTTCCTGAAAGTGAATTTAGCAGTTCTTCACGCATCACTCCAGATGTGAGCAAAGCAGGAATAGTAGACCTTTCCTATTCCTTCTGATGACCAGCACTACCTGCATACTGTGGCACCAGGTACATGCTTGACTTTGTATCACTAAGGGACATAGGTTTAGTGACTCAGTCAGTCAGGTTGATGAGTGGATTTGATAATCTTGAAAGACTTCTCCAACTAATATGCTTCTATGTACAGATACTTTAATGATCCACCAACTCCTGGTCCAACATGTGGCTCATTCACCTGAATTAGCATTCCCGAGAAAAATGCAGGCTATAGAGATTTATATCAATAACAGAAGAAAACGCTTATGTTTGCTATATTTTGCTCTGCTAAATAACAAACCCCAAATACTCACTAAAGCTTTAGTGATGCTTCATTACAAAAAGTATCCGGTCCTGAGAATAAATTACTAATGTTAGTTGGTAGGACATGACCTACCAGCAGTGATTTCAGAGACTAATCCTTTTTTTTTTATTGGTCACAGTGTTTCCAAAACAGTAACATAGTACTGCCTAAATTAGAATAGTTAATAATAGTAACAATAGGATTTTTTAAAAATTGCCATCAGTTAAACAGATGTTTACTTCCAGTAGGTTCATTCTATGTCTCAAAGAAGATTTAACCAACTGATGATTATGGAGCTTACTGCAGAGTCTGAGTAACCATGAAGCTTACTTCAGTCATACATAAAGTATACACTCTTTGAATTTTATAAGTTTTATAAGTTTTGCTATTCTTACCTGCAGAGGTGTTCACAATTTCTGAAGTATTTCTGAGACCCATAAAGTCAAACTGATAGAGTCTCCAAGACTTCTGGTCAGCAGCTTCCACTGAGTTTTTTCTCCATCTGTAAATCATTTCTTCTTTAGGATAGCCATCTGAAAATAATTAAATAAGTATCATTTCATTAAAAAAAAAAAAAAAAAGAAAGAAAAAGGTGATGTACAACAGTATCTGTTTCCTGATTCAGAGATATTTGAGAATAACTAAATTTCTGATCTGACTGTTCAGCTGAAGAGTAATAAGGCACACAAAAATAGAGATGTAATTCCAGGAAAACTATGAATTTCCACAAATGTTTTTTTTTTTTTTTTTTTTTTTCCTCAATGGAGAAAAATTCTGATTCATTCTATCAGAAGTAAATCTCTTCAGAGATGCCATTGGTTATACTAATTAGTGATCTGGACACAGTACATTTACTGCTTCATATACACACTGAATAAGTAGGGCAAATTATATTATTAAAAAAAAAGTTGAAAAAAGCTGAAAGTTTAAAAAGTGAAGATAGTCATAATGCAGTGTGTGCTACTATACTTTTGAAATTAACTCAAAAACAGTCCAAAAAAAAAAAAAAAAAGCAACACATTTTTAATTAGCTTGAGATTTTTAAAGTGATTATGTTATCATCTTATTCTAAAGGCCATAATAATTAATGAGGCCTCACCTGACCTACACAGCTGAAATAGCTTCTGAATGTCTTTCTTTATCAATTTAGTACTCAGAAGCCACAGTTAATTCTCATGCCAATATTTAATTTCCTTTTTTGTTAGACTGGCATTTTCCAATAGAAGTCCAAAAACAATTCGTCAACCAGTACTAATCATAATAAAAGACAATCTAGAAAACAATGGTTTGCCCATGCCAGTTAAGACTAGATTGTTCTCTAATGCATAATCCAGTATACTTCTATTCATCTAATAATTAATGTAGTAGATGTAGATTACAAAGCAAATTAAAAGCCTAACAACAACAAAGACGGTTAATATAAATATCTAATCAGTATTTTGGATACTAATACACTTGGTTTTTGTGTTGCAAAACTGCTACTCTGGTCATGGTGCTTTTTCTTGACATTTTCCCATATGTGTCTTCTTTGTCTCGTTTAAAATTCCACCCTGCTGGGCACTGTTGTAAGGTGTGCATGACTTCATTTATCCTTCTTCTTTACACAGCATGAAAAATACCTACAAGTCCCTCAATTCTAACCTGCAGAAAATAACTATGTGTTAATTCAAATGTAATATCCACATATTTTCCATGAATGAGAATAAAGAAACAACACATGAAGAACCTAAGTAAACAACAAAAACAAGCCCTGCCATTCTCCACAAGAACTCTTGTTGCCAAGCAATTTTCACTGCCAATTTTATTGTGCCAGGCTGTGAGACCGATTCAAAGGTTAATTTTTTTTTTTGGCTGGCAGATTATGGCAGAAGATGCAGAGGTACAGTGAAAGAACAGAAAGCTTTGCAGGATCTCCAAGCCTTAACCGTGAATCCCCTAATTTTTTTTTTAATCATAGAATCATACAATGTCCTGTGTTGAAAAGGACCTCAGTGATCATCTACTTTCAACCCCCCTGCTATGTGCAGGGTCACCAGCCACCAGACCAGGCTGCCCAGACCCACATCCAGCCTGGCCTTGAATGCCTCCAGGGATGGGGCATCCACAGCCTCCTTGGGCAACCTGTTCCAGTGCGTCACCACCCTCTGAGTGAAAAACTTCCTCCTAATATCTAACCTAAATCTCCCCTGCCTTAGTTTAAAACCAATCCCTCTGGCCCTATCACTATCCACCCATATAAACAGTTGTTCCCCTTCTTGTTTATACACTTCCTTCAAGTACTGGAAGGCCACAACGAGGTCTTCCAAGAGCCTTCTCTTCTCCAACCTAAATAATCCCAGTTTCCTCAACCTATCTTCATAGGAGAGGTGCTCCAACCCTCTGATCATCTTAGTGGCCCTCCTTTGGACCTTCTCCAAGAGCTCCATATGCCTCCTGTGCTGGGGGCCCCAGGCCTGGACACAGTACTCCAGATGGGGCCTCACAAGAGCTGAGTTGAGGGTTAAAATCACCTCACTCTCCCTGCTGGCCACCTCTTTTTTAATGCAGCCCATTAAGCCTGGCTCCTATTTGAGAGAGCCTCTGATTACCCGCTAAACAATGTGTAACTGAAAGCCTCAAGAGCCTTCCCAAATTGGCTTTATTTTGATACTTTCATTTCCACAGTTCAGGAAGAAAGAGGTGTCAAATTCCTCCTGTCATGTTGTGGCTGCTGTGCCCTCATGCTAAGAGGCAGAGGCAGAATTGCCCCTTCCCTGTAAAGCAGTTATGGAACCACAAGGGTGCACGCCAATGCGTTCTGGGTCCTAATCCTATCTCCTAGCATGGATTTATGTCCTGATACAGAAGAAAGGAAATCACTGCTCTCTTGCAGTCAATACACCAGTTTGATGCAGAACTTATTGCCCAAATTGCGAATGTGCAGATTTTCTAGTAGATAGTTGACGGGGACCCTTTTCTCAAACGAATTCTAAAATATTCCTTCATTAAAATCACACTGACTTCATGAAAATATTAGGATCTTAAAACCTGAGATTGCATTTGCAATATGTCAGGATAAGTTTGATCAGCATGATAGAACACCAGAGAAGATGAGATTTTATTTGGTGACACACTGAGTTCAATAATATTTTGAGAGGAAAGAACAGTATAGGGAGATTTTTGGCATTTCTTTTTCATCTTATGGCCAGCCCACCAAAAACCAATTACAGTGTCAGTAATACTGGAAACTTTCTGTTACATGATCCAATGCATAGCTGTTTGTTCCTGTATGAGTAGCATGTAGTCAAGTGCAAGTTCCTTCAGTATTCCTACTGTAGTTTTGACTAAACAGAGACAGCTTCAATTTGGGAATGTCTACTTTTAGTATTACTTATCATCACTAAATAGTAAGGAACTGACTCCAGGAGATGAGCATGCCCTTTAATCCACAGATACTGACATCTGCTCTTAGAATAGCTGTGTTACATCAAAGGAGAGAGTTATTACTGATGCAATGAGAGTTGTTTCAGCCTGTTTCAGCCTGTAACTGTTATTGTGTTCTGCTCCTGTGCTCAGTAACTTCACCTCTGCACTCATTTGAAGGGTATAATATTTCCTATGGAATAATGACATCTGCTTGGACAATATATCACAACTAAGATTCATCTAACTTACAGAATAGGCTATGGAGAATGGCTGTTGGTATGGTGATGATGGTATGCAGTATTTCTTGTAGATAGCCTAATTGCTTCTAGCCCTCTAAATGCTTCATTTTACAACATTATAAGACCTGGAGACCTCAGTGCTTCTAGAAGAAAATGTAACTTCTGCTATTCAGCCTGCAACACAACTAAGAGTGTATTATCTATAGAAATATCTGTTTTCTTGCACTTCACCAGCTTGACAAATGACAGTAAATTACCTTAAATTCTTGACCTTACGGCATCAAGCCATCCATGCTGAACAAATTGCTATCAAGTGCATTTAACATAGGAGATTGCTTTAGGATATGTGAGAATATCCATACTGTGGTGGAGCAATGCTTCAGGAGGGCAAGAAGACTTTTCAGTGGTTGCTAGTCAGTTGGCAAGGGAAACAGCTGGGAAAGCAGATGACGCTAACAACAGATTGACACTGTGTTACAGCTGTTAAGCTTCTGATAATATGCAACTCTGGAACTTCTCAACCCACGACCT